ATCCTTTTCAATAAATGTGATTTCTCCCTGTTCATGCTCAACTAGCTGCAGAAATAACTCTCTAGCTTGTAAGTTAGGCCAGATCATTCCTGCCTCTTACTCATAGAATCATAGAATATCCTGACTTGGAAGGGACCTACAAGGATCATTGAGTCCAACTCCTAAACATCTCTGATTTCATTTCTGCATCATATCCAACAGAAGCTTCATGTCTTTGCCTTCGTGATCTGTAACGGCCTATTCCCACCCTTTTTCCTCTAGTATTCTCTAGTGACATATCAACTCATCCTTCCCATCTGAAAGTGTCTATGTTCAATCTTCAAGCACTAACATTCCATTTTGTGCTTTGTCCTTTTCTCAGATGTATCCCATTAAACTTCCTTTAAACTCCCTCCAGATTCTCTTTCAAATTCTTCCTTAACCTTTTCCATTGCTGGGCTGTCTACAGACTCCTTGTCAATAGTAAAACATTTAGAGTGCTGACACCACAGTTTTCCTTGCTGACTGGTTTTGTCTGATTGCCTCCTTCTATTTCCTATCTCTACCCAGTTGTTACTGCTTGTATTAGATTGTAAACTCCTGCAGTCAGGCCCTTCTTTGAATTCTGTGTTTTTCCAATACCCAGCGCAACGGATCTGTTCCATAATCTGAGCAGCCAGGATCTGTGGTGGCGTAGGCAAAAGCCATGTAATAATAGTAATAAAATAACAAGAAGTTAGAACATGACATCATGTGCAATATGAGCTCCTCTCCTCCCTTCCCCCTCTTCCTTCAGGTTTGCAATATTTCAAACTTTTTTACACAACAGAAGACAGTAAATGAGGTGGTTTCAGAATAAAGTGTAGTAGCTGATGTATCCTTTCAGCTGCTGAAGTGTTTCCGTGTGATGCACTCACTAATGATGACATTGTCAGCAGGGAAGCCTCTGTGGGCACTTCTATATGTCCCCCCAAGGTAAGACCAACGTGTGGCAGCCAGGCTAGGCTGAAGGAAGGTCACGGCACAGCCAAGGTTATGAACCTCTTTCATGCAAAAATAGAGGACTTTGGTCTCCCAGGCTTGCTGCCAACATATCACCTTCTAGTTTTGCTGAAATGATCTTGAAAAAGGATCTAAAAAGGGCTGAAGGGGCAAAAGAAGAATGTTGAAATGACATAGTTTCATCTTCGTGCAGTTTAGTGCTAATTTTGTCCTTTGTCTTTAAGCTGCCTTTTAAGTGCTGTTTGTCTCTGTGGGAAGCAAATGGGTCACGTTGTTCTATGTTTCTACTGTAATACGCTGCCTGCTATTTTTCTCTTGGATTATTTGTGTAATCTTTTTTGTGCAATCTGTTTGTTCTTGAGTCTTGCAAACTTTGCCTTTGCTACTTCTTTCCCAATAAGCAGTGCAACTTGTTCTGTGTTCACTCATGGGTATTCTGCATACAACGGACTGGGTTATTTCAGCCAGTGTGAAAATATTAAAATGGGGAACATGTGTGGGCACTTAATTGTGGTGAGCCCAACCACAAATACCTTCGCTGTTGGTAATTGGCACACAGGAAAAACAGACCTTTGTTTTGTTTTTATCAGACTTAATGATAGATACATTGTTTTTAGTGGGGTTTTTCTGGTTTTCTAAGGAAATGAGGCTTGTGCAATTGCACTGCCTGTGTGCATGTGCCTGTCTGCTTGTCAGCTTCTCTCTTACCAGCACTTGAAAGTAATAGCCATTTTCACCCAAATTTGAGTGAGATGCAGGAGTTGGGAGAAGAGATCAGCTTTTACAGAAGTCTTCTGAGTTCCCAGATTTCACGAAGGTCTGCAGAAGGTGCAGTCACATCACTGCAAGCCAGATTGGTTGGGTATTTGCCCACATGCCTTTATGTGGATCCAGCCACCTAACTGTAAGCTCCCAAATTTGAATACTTTGGCATATTTGCTTTTACCCCTTGGGCAAGTGAGTCAGTTGGGAGAGTTGCTAGGCACAGAGCTTGTGTTTTGCTTCTCACTGGAGTGGCCATGTCTCATGAAAAGCATGGTTTGCTCAAGGCCACACTGTTACAATTTGCATATAAACTTATAAAAAAGGAAGCTTTCTTAAAGCTTTCCTGTGCAAGAGTTTATAGGAGTACTTCTGTCTGTGTACATAATAGCAGAAACTGGACTTCTCATTAATGTAGACAGGTTAAGTCTGTCACTGCCTGAATGGGAATCTTCTGTGGAAAAAGCCAGAAAGAGGAAGGAAAACCTAAGGAAACCAACTTCAAGGGGAGAAGTTGGCCAAGACTGGTGTTGTGCTGCTCTTTGGTTTGTACCTGACCACCAGCACTGTAGTTGGGGAATGCCTCAGAGCTGTGGAGGAATGTAGCCTCAGGGCACCTTTGGGAAGCAGAGAAGGTGTCTTTATGCCCTTTCCTCAAAGAGAGGACAGAGGCACAAAGGCACCGAGTGACTTGTCAGAGATTACAAGAACTTGTCTTTGAGTTAGGAAACATAGCCAGGTCTCCTGGCACAAGTACAGCCAGAAGCTTGCTTTCCATGTAGACAGCTTCTTCAGCAAATGGAGAGATGCCTTGGTCAAAGAGGAAGATAAATGCTGAAGTATACAAAGCTGGCTAAATTATGGATGTGAGAAGAGGAGGAGGGGAAGAAAAGATTCCCACATGTTCTGCTCAGATGTTAACAAAGAAAGCTGAGAAGTGTTTGCATAGACACTACATTATTCCATGTCCAAATGCCTCATAAAAATAATACCGGATGATCACAGAATGGCACACTAGGGAAAATAAATTCTTCAGCGGAATATTCCCTCTGGAAAAACACTGTGTAAAGTAATACACTAATGGCTTTCAATTTCATGTTTTATATATAGAGATATTAACTGCTCCCCAGACGTCTCTTCGTATTACAGCCCAGCTACACGAGCAGTTTGGAGAAGGCCCTGGAGCACGCTCCATCTTGTCCACACACAGGACTGGGCAGTGCTCCCCGTGGTACATGCAGCTCCTGTGGTGTACACAGTAGGTGTCTTCTGCCTCTTTCCCAGCGCAGTGCTCCTCCTGTGGTTCACTCCAGTGGGTTTGGTTTTTTTTTCTTCCTAGTCCTCATGGTTTTTTCCATTCTTATCCCATGCTCTGTAGCCTCACCACCATGCTGGGAACATTCCATCTCTCTCATGAAAAAGTAGTCCTCACTAGAAGTGTTACAATGGTGTGATTAAAGCACAATGCTGTCAATGAAAACACTGATAACCAACGGTAAAGAAAGTGAAGTTTAAATACAGCATTAATAATTCCTGTTTGGGGATTTTCCAGGCTTATCTGGATTCATCTGGTGACTTCTCTCTCCACATTGCTCAGGCTGGGAGATGTTTGAGTCAGGAACTGTCTGTCCTGTATAAAATCAACTACGGTTATGCCGTTGTAGCAAATCGTAATGATCTGGGTTCTTTTCCAAGCTTTCCTAATATATCTCAAATGTGTATATATATCATCCTGCCACATCCTGAGGGATCCAAAAGTAGCTTACATGATTTGTTCCCTGGATGTAGCTTATTGGAGTCTGGGACAGGCAGGGAAGAAGTCGATGGGGACATTGACAGTGAACAGCGCAGGGATGGCAGCTCTGCTCTTGGGATGACAACACGTGTCCAAGTCCTTTTAGGAAGTTGTGCAGTATTTGCTTGAAAAGGCTGATAAACACAGACTGTGGTGTGAGAGAACTTTGTATCATTGCTGGATTATTTAATTATTATCAGGTACATATTATTTGTATATGCATTTATGAGTAATTCTCTGTTGAACTCAGTCTGCTTTCCTGCTTGTACCTCAACTCTTGCTTTCCTTCCCCTCCTTCCTGCTTTCAGTGGCCACGCCACTCCACTCATAGAGTCCTCAAGAAGTACAGGGCCCCAAGACTGAGGACAACACAGTTATTCTCAAACCAGAGAGTACCATTTCGAGTGGGACAGTGGCCCAGACCATAGTTGCTCTGTTGCCTTCAGTAGGGTTCTTCTGCATAGGGTGGCTGAGGTTGTCCTAAATACCTTCCATTTTCAACACTGATTGTTGGGTAAGGACATCAAACCTTTATGGGCTATCTCCATTTCTAGTACTTGAATGACAGAGGAAAATGGCAAAGGTGTGCCTTCCACTCACCTCTTCCATCATCTCTGCAGCAGTCTTCTCTAGGAAGTCTTTCCCATGATCTAAGAAAATTTTGTCTTCCTTTTAAATCTGTCTGCCACATAACATTTTTAACAACAATCTGAACAAGGCAGCAAGCCTTTTGTGTGTCTGCAGAATTTTTGTTATGCATTTGTATGTGACATTAGGGACCTTTTTCAGAAACAGACAGAGCTCTTAAAGCTTGTCTTTACCTAGAGTCCTTAATAGCAGCTTCTGGTACAATTTTCTTGAAGGATGGTAAGAATAAAGTATCCACCTATCAGTTTCTTTAGGAATAGTTTCTGTGCTTTAAATAGACACAATATCTTAATCCGCATTAATCTTCGAACAGAAAAGATGTAATTGGCTCCATTGAGAGAATTGGTTTAAGCTGTACAAGCAAAAACTGCTCTTTAAATGGTAACAATTGTGCTGCCACCAGGCAGCTTTGCAAGGCATCCTACCACAAAATCCTTTCATGTGGAGGCAAGGCTTTAGGCACAGGTTTATCCCATCTAACTGAGGAGCTCAGGATGACTATATAGCTGGGTTAGATGATAGCTGAGTGGTTTGTTTGTGGGGCTCAGACTCCTCACTGGCTAGCAGCAGCAGAACTGATACCACTGCAGTCTTGGAAGCCAGTTTCAATCCTTTCTAGATCTTTTCATATGGGCCAGCACCAGAGTACCTTCCAGTGGCACTGGGTCTTTGCCAGCAGTGGCACAAATTGCTCTTCTGTTGACTGAGCTGCTGTGTCCCCCTTACCCACTGTGCAGCACAGGTGTGGCAGGGCCTTTTCTGCAGCCAGGACCAGGAGCTTGCTTTGACTCACATCCTTTCCTTTTGGTGACAGGTCGCTGTGCCCGCTGTGGGGAGAATGTTGTTGGAGAAGGCACTGGTTGCACGGCCATGGACCAGGTCTTCCATGTGAAGTGTTTCACCTGCATGAAGTGCAACAACAAGCTGAGGGGACAGCCTTTCTATGCAGTGGAGAAGAAAGCCTACTGTGAACCCTGCTATATTGTAAGTATCTCTTCTTCTTTGCACCCTGATTCTAATGCACAGGCATTGGAAACATTGATTTCCTTCATTGCTGTGGAGTTGCCTTACAGTTAAAATAGAACAATCCTGTGGCAGTACCATGAGCACCAGTTATTCCATGGTCTTCAGAAGAACTCTCATCTCTTCAGCTTACTGGGTGAATTTCGTTCTCTAGTCTGGCTGTCTCTGAAATGATGCAGCCACAGCAGGGGAAAGAGATGCTTTTTGTGATTTCTTGTCTCTGTCAGGGGCAGACTATGAAGCGATTTTTGAGCAGTGGTGTCCTTCTCAGAAGCTTTCTGTGTTGAGAAGCCTTATACACTGTGGTGCCCACTAAGAATAAGGAGGTGAGATGCAAGAAAAGCACTGAAACTTCTAAAATCAAGACCTTTGCAACTGCTTGATGGAAGTCTTTCCACAGAGCTGAGGGTCTTTGTATTAGGTATCTTTGGAAGCTTACCTTACCCTAAAATTTCATTTTCTGCCTCCAGCAAGGTCTTAAAGCCAACCATTAACAGTTGCTCTGAAGATCTGCACTTTTTAAGATGCTCCTTCCTGTAAGAGCAAGCTGGAACTGGTTGCACAGGTACAAATTAAAGAGACATCATAAAATATGCCTGAGGCCTTACATTGGTGTGACCTTAGTACACAGTATATAAGGATAATCCTGGTAATTTACAGTAAGAAAAGCACCAAAAGATTCTTCAAGCATTGATAAGTCTTTCTCTAAACCTCCAGTTCTGAGTTCTTATAAACAATGGACCTGAGACTCTTCTGGAATTGGATTTGCAAAAATGATGCTTTTCTTGGAGTTTCTGGCATTCCAATGAGAATTAGAGCAATGATACATATTTCTGAAAATGCCTCCAATATCCCATTGCTCTTTTTATTTCTACAGAGCCTTTGCAGTGGGATTGTTACTGAAATACTGAATATAAAAAGGAAGGATTCTGTCTTATTTACACTGGCAGTGATATATGGGCCTCATTAACTGGCTTTTAAAAACTAAATGATCTTTTGATGGACTGTGTACCTTTTAAATAATTTCCATTTTTGTTTGCACTAAAATGATTGTACCATAAAAAATTTAAGGTTCATTTTGTCGCAAGTTTGGCCATGTCCAAAGCACTGCAGACTTTAGGAAGGTGCATTCATAATATAATTGGAGCAACTTTATGTAACTGGAATTAAACATTTCATTGACTTCAGGCTGGAATTGACTTCATCTGCTTGCAGATTGATACTTTCTTTTCGTCTTTTTTAAATCAAGCACGCATTCTTCACCACTCATCTGCTTTAGTTTGGGAAAACATCTGCATTAGCCACTGTAGTAATGGTTTAAGATTATTTAATCCCATTACTTATACACTTCATTAGCCTGAGTGAATTGTTGGCAAGGGTTCAGTAAACTTCCTACATTGGGAGATAAAAGGATAAAAAAGGAAAGGGAGAAGGATTCTGTTCCTCATTTTCTTTCAAATTTATCTTCTATCTATTTAAGGGATAAAGGAACGATAATTGCCTGGTTGCATCTGCGTTTGTACATTCTGTGATATGGCTTTGCAGCTCTGAGTACAGAGGAAAGAGTAAACGTTTAATAGCTTCCTTTTATATAACCAGAAGGGGCCTTTAAATGTTTATCCATGCAGTCCACAAAAACCTGGTTATGGACTTAACCCAAAACACGTCTGGATCCATCTGCTGCTGCACATGCAGGGGAAAGGATGGCAATCCTGATGGGGCTATGTATGTCTGACTGGACAGCTGGTACTGTGAGTGGGAAATGGGAAGCAGGAGTCTGGCAGTCTGATGCAGTAAAGGAAAAACCCCAAAAACCCAAGCACACATTAAACTCTTAAATGTGGAAGAAACAAGTGTTGGGAGCCTAAGTCTCAGTATATTTCAGAAATCTCTGCTGTGTAGAAAGCCAGATCTACAAGGGATCTAGGCACCTGCCATGCTACTGGCTTTGGGCCTGAGGAATTTGTGTTGTAGAGCATATGTCTCATTGATTTTTCAATGGAATGAGGTCTGCATTGGCTTCAGTATGATAATGAATGCCTAAGGACACTGAGGACTTGAGCTAGGCTTGCAAGTTGTTCTTGCAGATGGATTTGGGACCCTTAAATTGATGAGGCACAGTCTGAATGCTTTTGTCTTTAGATGTGTGATGCAGTTATACTGAACTCTGAGAGAGTTAATGGCCTGCTTCAAATCAAGCTTGTGTTTAAGAATTCTGATGCATTGTGGCCTCTGGTTGGTTGGTTTGGTTTGGTTTTTTGGGGTCTTTTTTTGGTGTGGGTTTATTTTTTGTTGTTGTTGATTTTGCTTTTGTTTTTTGGAGCTTCCCCCAGTCCCATTATCAGAAAAATAGCTTGGACACTAGGAACCCTGGATCTATAGGAAATCAATTGGACTGGAGTACCCAGGCTGATTCCTCTGGACCTGGATTCCCATGAAAGGGGCAGCCTTTACTAGCCCAAGACTGCACATCTTATCCATGGCAGTGGCCAGCTGAGAAAACAGGGTTCTCAACTGGTATGACTGAGTAATTCAATGAAACTTGTTTACTGGTCTGCCTAATTCACACTGATTTCAAGCACACATTCCCATTTTCCCAAGTCCAAAACTCTTTGCCTCTTACGCAAGCCATGGAGGCTTCATTTATGTCAAGAAAATGAACTATAATACTTGCCTGGCCATGATATATACATTCTTGAATTCTTTGATTATTTTTTTAATAATTCACTTATGTGATTTGTGGACTTACATAAAAACTATGCACAAAAATAAAAATACACATTTTTCAACAATTAGAATTGACTAATCTTCTCAGTTTGTTATATGACTCTTCTTAGTTGTGGTGTAGTGAAGCCATAATTAAGATTACTGTGAAGAGCTGTATTTAATTATTGGTTAGTCAATACCAAGTCTAAATAGCCTGCAGAAGAGGTTTTCTTTGTTGTTTTTGTTTCTGGTTTTATTTATCAGCGACCCAGTTAAGATGAAATTCCCCAAAATCTGAATGAACATCTAAGGGAACCAATCACCTGTTTGAAAAGAAATATTTTTCCTAAGGGGAATTTGAGTACCAGACTTAATTTCTTTCACACAAAAATCCCCCACCCAAAGGCCCTTCACTATCATTTCCTGTTACATCTTATGAGTGCAGCGAGTTCTGTTGCCAATGTGTTTGCTGGCTTTGCTTTTCATCCAAGGATTCTTTCATTATTGATGTTATTTCTAAAAGAGTACCAGTCTTCTCCATTAAGACACTTCTGCTGAGCTAAAAGCAACTGTGAAAACTAAAGTGTTAATAGGAGACAGATGTTTCCTAGTCATTACGACAGTCAAGTAACATCTGAAATACCATGATAGGGTTTCCAGTGTAACCAGTGTACTGCTGTGCACGTGATGATTGCTGTGTCTGCAGTATGTTATCAGTATACTTTTCCCCTCCCTTACAGGGCAAATTACTGACAAAAGAACATTTGGTTTGCTTCCTCTAAGTAGTTGAAGAGATTTTAGCGTTGGAGAAAAGGTTAAGAGTAATATCAGTGGAACTGTTATTATAAAAGATTGAAGAGCAAGATGTTAGAGCAGTGCCAGCTGTCCTCTTTCCAAATGCTGTGTTATCGTAAGGACTGAACACAAGGTTAACCAGACACACCAGTCTGGCAAGAGTGATGCTGCTGTTTTGTGAATGGGATGTTTTTTGGTGTCCAGATGACTTTCTTCAGGACATGGGAATTTTCCTCCATTCTTATCCCCTCTCCTGGCAGTCTGGTGGTTGGCAGTTGGAGATGTGTACTCTGAGGCTAAGGACTGAGAGGGGCTAAGCTCCTGCAGTTACTGCAGGAAGCAGCAAAATCTTGCAGATGCTCCTGGCCTCTGAGGGTTTCTTCTGTTGAGTCCAAGTCAATGTGACCCACTGGAGAGGACCATGGTGTGATTGGGAAGGTTCCAAGAAAGCAGAAATAGCCAGGGTCTGCTGAAAGAGTTCAGAGGAGTGGTGGGCATCAGAAATGATGAGCAATTGAAGAAAAAGAAACAATTTGTCTAATGTCTGTCTGGCTAGAGCAAGGGAAGATGGTGAGTATGCTCTGCAGTGCCCTATGGAGACCCGAGGATGGAGGTTTCCTATTTCTGCTGTGCACTGTGAAATATTGAGGCCATGACCCGTCCCCAAAGATCACTTACAAGGATTTTGCAAGGTTCATCTTTCCACAGCACTAAAGCTGTGGAAGTGTTTGAAGGGGGAAGAATTGTGCATGGAAGTCATGCCCCGATTACTGCTGTTCCTCAGCTGTAAATTTGGGATCATGATACTCCACTTCCCCTCCTCTCCTCCCCTTGCAATTATTTGTTTTGTGACAAAAAAACTTAGATGTTTTTTTCTTACAAGCTTCTAACTTCCTGTCCTATCAGTGGCTGTAGTTCTGTGGGAGAAGGTAGTTCAGAACAGAACACAAGAGAAATGTTGATCTTTTAAGAAATGGTACAACTAGAGCCACTGATGCTGTGGAGCATCCTGGGAAAGCTTAAATTTCCTAATCACTCTGAAATGTCAGTGTTAACTCAATTTGTGTTCACTGAAATCTCTGGTTAAACTGCTTTTGGCTTCAGTGTGACTGGTATTGTAAACCTCACCCCGTGTGTGCCCATGAGTGTGGTTGGTTGAAAGCTGTGCAAGAGCAGTTACCTCCTGCACATATGGTTTAGAGTGTAAGGTTGATCCTGCAGTAAAACTTACATCTATTTTTAAAAATAATTCTGCAATTTGTAAGCAGGGATTACAGCACTAATTTAGCAACTATGTAACAATTTAAATTGGACCAGAAAAGAGAAACTATAATTTAAAGATTTTTTTTTTTATGATACAAGTTTTCTTCTTTTTAAAGTAAAAAACCCTTTATTCTTGTTTTTGTCAAGCAACGTATTGAATTTGAGAGTAATTTATGGAAAGTGCTGCCAGCATGGTA